ATTATTATTATTATTATTTTTTGCATGCACACCTACTTGTGGGGACCTAAGGCTACTTAGGGGGGACCCTGACTGGTACTTATGGGGACTTGAATCTAGTCTCATGGAGGGTAAACATCAATGGTGGGTCAAGGGTTAAGTTTAAGGCTAAGATGTTAATTGAGTTTAGGTTAGCTTCAGGGTCATCCACTGTACGTGCCTGTGAGGTTAGCTTTAGGGTTGGTGGTCAGGCTGTAGAAACTAATGGAAGTCATTGCCAGGTCCCCATAAAGATAGCTGCACCAGACTGTGTGTGTGTGAATGTGTCTGTGTGTGTGTTTGGTCCCAGGGTATTATTTTCCTAACACCAGTGAAATCCCATTACCACTATTTGTCTTTTTGACACTCTCTGCCAGCTTTTCACTCATTTCTTCACCTCTTCTGTCAGATTTTGTGCTTTTTTCTCCAGATTTAAACATCCAGCATGCAAATATGGGCTGCAATGGATGCTGGCATACTTAACACCAAGAAAAAAAAAAGAAAAGAAAAAAAACAACAACAACAGACTGTAAAGGTGCAGTGAATCAGCATGTAACTTGGGTCTAATTGGTTTGGTTAAAAGTGTTCTCAGCCACCTGCCTTTGTTTTTTCTCTTCTTTTTTTTTGTAAACGACTTTCACAAGAACCTTGTTATGGCAAAATGTGTGGCTGCAGTTTAGTTTAAAGGCTGGAACAGTTTCGTCTTTTTCAAATGTATTCAGCTTCTCTCCCCCTCAACTCAATTGTTGTTGTTTTTTTTGCCTTGCACCAGTCTGCCTCTATTTTATTGTTCTCATCTGCATCATTTTATTCTTTTCACWACCAGCCATCCTCATCTGTCTGCTAGGATGTGTTTTATTATCACGCACAGTCTGTTTACACCTTTGGGCCTCCTCACTGAAGTCTTCATCAAAAAAAGCAGTAGCAGGTGATTTGAAGTAGCAGGCGTGATGTGTTTGTGCATCGGTGTCGCAGGGATGGTGGATCTGTGACCGTGCAAAACATCTAAAATGACTTGCAGCTGATAATAAATGAGGAAAAATGGTGTTTCTTATAATAAAACTCAGCTGTGTTTCTGTGCTCTGAGAGATGTAGAAGCCGAAGAACCTGAGGGGAAATCGATACAGTTGGGGAATACTGTAAAATGTTGCCGACTTGGGCTGTAAAATCACATCAAGTGGACAGGAGGTGAAGAAAAGCAGACATCATGATTCGCATCACGTCCTCTGGAGCAGCTCTGACTGCCTGTTTGTGTCTCGTACCTGATTAAATCCAGAGCTGGGAGCTGCCCCCCACTAACTCTGTTGAGGGGCGGCGGGGAGACGCAACGATTAAAATATATGCACACATTACACCGCTAAAGAGCTGAGGGGCTTTGCTCTGTTAAAAAGACCTCGACGAGTGAGATTTCCTGCTTAAATGATGCATAAAAAAGATGACTTGTTACTAAGTAGAAAGGAGTTCCCCTCGTGCTGCAGTGAGCCACTGAAAACAGCTCAGAGAAAGTGAGCGAGACACAAAACACTTTAAAAAAAGAAAATATGATTGACAGCAAAAAGAATGTGAACACACCAGCGAGGCTGGCAGAGGTTTGGTAAATCTGTCAAATTAGCTTTTCTGTTGTTTTATGTCCTGAGAAGCAGCTTCCTCTCTGTTTATTTTTATTTTTAAGCTCGTATTGAAGCAAAAATAACAATGTAAGGATATTTTGCCTTATGGAGTTTTCTGAATTCAAACTATAATTAAAAACCTATACCATTCCTTAAATGGATGCATCACTAAAAACTCTGTTTCTCTTGGTCGTTTGAACATATTTCAACAAAGTAAAATCATCTTTTTTATGTTTTTGCCTTTAGGACTCTAGACTCCATTTACTGTTTGTATTGAAATACTAAAGTGTATAAAACCTCCTAAATGTGCACTAGATACTGTATGATAAACAAAGTATCGTCTGTTAGTGTCTGTGTCCCATTTATCTTTGCTTAACCACAAATATCTTTTTGGTGCCGTTTAAGTTCTAACAATACAATTTCTGTTTCAAATTTTCATAAAAGAATCAGTTCAGACATAACCTGGGGTTATTTTTGAAGAAAAAACAGCAAAATAAGTGACTGAGTCTTAAATAAATACCCACCATCAGCAGCTTAYACTGCAAAACAACAGACACACTTGCAGTTTCATCCTTGAGAGGAGGTAGCAACATGAAGGTCAGACAAAGAAGACAATTCATAGTTTATACCATGTTTTATAGGAGTACAAAACACAATATTTAATGTGAAAAACACTGGATACATGCAGATTTTGTGGTTGAGTTTATTTTTGTTAAATATAACAAGATGGTCAAATCTAACAGCAATGCAACAACATTCATTTATCATTAATGATCTAAACCTGAAGTCTAATGTTTCATGTTAAAAATCAAATGTCAACTAAATGAATTTAAAAAAGCTTTAATAAATCTAATAATATGTAAATGTGCTTCGACCAAAAGTCTTGAATAGAAAGTCACAGATTGTCGCAGGCGGTGCGTCCTCCRCTGTCACGTTTCCTTTGTTTACTCCTTGCCTCCTTCTGTTCCCTGTCTGTCCTTCCTCGGTGCGAACCAATTAAATCTGAGAGATCGACACTCAGGGGTCAAGTTGCGTTTCTGCTGAGTCCGTCTGAGACTCAGTAAAAACACCCGAGCTTCACAACACTTCAAGGCATCATCTGTTTGACCTTGAGCTGAAGTCTAGCGGTGCTCCGACCAAAGCTGAGCAGCTCGGTCTGCACCTGTTCCTTGCTTTTTCTTTCACTTTTTCATAGTTTATTTTTACCTGACCCCCGCCGTGTTTACATGTGTGTTATTTTTTTTTATTTTTCACCAGGATGACTTCCTCTTCAGCGTATCCATAGTGAGTGGGCTCTCCTGTGCCATGCTGGCTGTGGCCAAGTTCATGCTGGGAAAAAAGCTGACCAGTCGGGCACTCATCACTGATGGTACAATATTCATTTCAACCAATAAAACTCAAAGGCCTTCATTTTGTGAATGAATGTCTTTTGATTAAGATTACCACCTCCGCCAACGGCGAGGTAATGTTTTCAGTTGCGTATTTCTGTCTGTCRTTCTGTCTGTGGACAACATTACTCAAAAACTTGTGGACGGATTGTCATGACATTTTTACCACATGTGGGTACTTTGCCAAAGAACACACCTTTAAATTTTGGTGATGTTCCAGATCACGATGTGGATACAGGATTTTTTTTTTCTTTTAACACTCTGAGATCAGCAAAGCTGTGATGCTTTCACAGGGCTTCTGTAAAAAAAACAGTGAGCTGGATTGGACAGTACGAACTTCAAACTTTATAAAAGTAATGTTAAAATCAGATTTAATGACAAATAATTTTTGCCATAATATGCACACTTACAGAACGTTTTGTGACCAGGAAGTGTGTGACTGCACCATGAAACCTAATTTTCCCATTTCCTCAAACACACCACATTTCCGAAACAACCAATCAAAACAGTTTCTCACTACTAGGCTTGTAAACAGAGAGCTCACACAAAATTGTTTCAGCAATTTCTAGAAACGACTCAGCCTGAAACTGAAAATATGGATGGAGGACAACAGAGCTACTTCATGGAAGAAGAACCTCAGCTTAGCCTGTTAGCCTTTGTGCTAGCGCCAACGCTATATTGCCTTATACATATTAACTCGCTGCTGGTGCGACAAACTAGCTAAACTGAGGCCCTTCATCCATATTTTCAGTTCCAGGCTGAGTCATTTCTACCTTCTCCTCTCTGTCAACGCTCTCTGGTTTCATTTAAAAGAGTCGATCATCAGATATTGTCCAAGATTAACCTTCAGGGTGGATATAGCTCGCTAGCAGCCTCGCACCGATGACCTACCCACGTCATCATTTACCCAGAATGCTTTGTGTGTAAATAAAATGGCTGCGTCCGTGCACTATATTTTTAAACTTGTAGTTAAAAAATTATACAAACTAAACAAGTATTTTTACAGTGTTTATTTTACAGTTAAAATGCATGTTTATTAAATAAAGTCTAATGTTACAACTAATCATGGATCCCTTTAAGAAATTAAAGTCAGGTTTCTTTCTGTACTGAAGGATTCGTGTTTTTCAGGCTTTAACTCTCTGGTCGGAGCTATCATGGGATTCTCCATTCTGATCAGCGCTGAAGTCTTCAAGCAGCACCCCGATGTCTGGTTCCTAGATGGAACCATCGGAGTCCTGATCGGACTCATCATTTTGGCGTATGGAGTCAAGTAAGAGACAACGCAACAGGAGTCTCCCATAAATATTGACTCCGGAACGTTTTCTGCACGTTTTCTGATTGTCTTTGTGTCCTCAGGCTCCTGAAAGACATGGTGCCACGAGTCAGACAGACGAGGAATTACGAACGCTTCGAGTGAAAGAGCCGAAAGCTGATTGGATGAGCCGTTTTAGACAAACACACACACACGCACACACACACCTGGGTGCCTCCTGCCCTCTTCTCTCTTGTCTTTCATACGCTCTTACATAACTTGCAGATTTATAAACACAGCACACACACACTCTCACACACACATCTCCCTATACTTACAAATATGTGAATATATGTGCACATATGCTGTACATAGTGTACATAGTACATTCATAAATTCACACGTCTGAGAGACTTTGAGAAAACATGAGAAAAGAAAGAATTCCTCTTTTTTGTCACTTATTCTCTTTTAGCTTTTTTTGCGCTAAACACCCTGGAAATGTTATAGAAGGAATTTATTTAGACAGGCAGTAAAAATGCTGGTTAGAAAACAATAATTAGGCTAACATTTTATTTATTTAATATTTTTTGTTTTTAAATCCAAATTCATCAAATGCAATGCCTGAAAAAATGTTCTTTCTAGTTTACTGAATAAGATGTTAAATTAGCTTTACGATAATGCAACAATACATTAAACAACCTAATATGTGAGTAAGTGTAAGTATTCATAATGGATATTTGCCTGGTGTACTAGGTACTTGCCTAATACAGTATACTAAGTACATATCTGGTATGTACTGACTGGTATTTACTGTGTATGTGGCACACAAGCACAGAGTAACAAGTTACTTTATAATACAGCCTGAATGCAGTGTTGTATAAAGTACCTGAAAGTGATACTTGAGTAAAAGTACAAGTTTCTTATCATAAAATTACTTTGATAAAAGTTAAAGTCTCTTTTAAGAATAATACTTGAGCAAAAGTCTTAAAGTATCTGATTTATTTTGTACTAAAAGTAAATTTCTGACATAAAATACACTTAAGTAATAAAAGTAAAAGTACTGAGTAAAAATGAATGATTAGATTTTCCAAAATACATTTATTGGGAGGTGACCTCTTCAAAAATATTTTTTCTAAAGGTGTGCAGCTTTGATGGATTATGTACACACTAAATACAGTATCAGAATGGTATATATTTATACTTCTCATCCAACCACAATTAAATCTATCCAGGAGCCACAATTTTTTAGGATAGTATTTATTTAAACAATAACAAACCAAAATGAAATAGGAGAAATGACTTTCTACTTCTTACCTTTTTAAAAAAATGTAAGGAGTAAAAAGTACAGATAACGGTGTAAAAATGTAAGGAGTAGAAGGAAAAAGTACGCTGAAAAATAATTACTCAAGCAAAGTAGATAACCAAAATTTCTACTTAAGATCAGTAACAAAGTATTTGTACTTAGTTACTTTACAACTCTGGCCTGAACTCTGTAGGTACCAGGTTTGTAATAAGTACATAAAGTACCTGATCCTTATTTGTAAGGTATCAGCTAAGTATTAGCCAAATACCAGGGATGTACCCTGTCCAGACTGGGTAAGTACCAGGTATAAATCCAGGTGCATACAGGATGTGTGTACCTGATACCTACAAAGACTGGGCGTTATTGTGAAATGACTTGTTTGTGTACTTGCTAAGTACTTAAAAGTACCAGGCATGTGCACAGTAAATATCRGGCTGTATTATATATTCCTACCTATAGGAATAATCTTATGAGGCTGCAGTAGCTGGTGGTCAGTGTTGTGGTTGTGTGGTCCTGAGGCTGCGGGTTCAAATCCAGGATGCATCAGGAAGAGTTCGCTCACCTGCAGAAGGAAGCAGCCAAAAAAAAAAAAAACCTCAAACCACCTATAAGAATCTTTTCTTTTACATTGTCACATTCCTGCTCGGTGATTTTCAATAATCCTTTGACTTTTTTTTTCACTGATAATCAAAAGTGTGCATTTCAGATAATAAGAAACATGTTTATTTAAGATAACTTTAATAACAGGGTGGCCTTTTGTATCTAGTATCTGATTTTGGATTCCTTCTTTTGTGGTTTCAAAACTTTAATAACTAAAGAGTCAAAGGAAATAATCTTAACAACATAAAATGGTGAATATGATCGACTTAAGTGCACAAATATGGCATTATTTTTCCTCTTTTGTGTACCTTTCATGAAATCTACTGTGTGTGATGTGACCAACGGATTAACCTGTCCTGATATCCTGGTGTTTGTTGCCAACAATTTATTACAAAGGCAGTTTTGACACTAAAGCTAAAATGACAGAGAAGTGTTTTCTGAAAACATTTTACCTGCTATGTAGGACTGAATCATCGTGTTGTGTATTTGTTTTTCTTTGTCATAACACAAATCCATTGTTTTTTTTTTTAAACTTGAAACTTTAGGATGAATATCATCAGGCAATAACAACATTAGSTATCATAAATGTGTTTATTTAAGCGCAGATTCCCCGGATGTTTGTTTTGCTTCTCAATCTCTGATTAGTTATTTGCACTGAATCCAGATGACGGTATTTAACTACTTGAATTATTTTAGTCAGAGTTGCCTCTTTTGTCCTCATTTTAACTGTAAAATTCAAACCCGACATAAACTCTGAGATTATAGCAGCTCGTAGGAAAAAAAAAAGAAAAGAAAATAACATTTGCAGTGTTTTGTGTGTCTGCTTCTGCGTTTATTACTGCTTTTTTCAGCATGTTCCCCTGATGTTATTAAACTGTCTATCATCGTGTGCAACGAGCAGAATGTAATAACAAAGCACAAGCTCTGTACATATGTTTATTCCACTGTTTCAGAGTAGACAGCGTGTAGTTAAAGTACAGACTGGTTAATGTTGCATATAGTTACAGAAGTTTACTCTGTAGTGTGAATATACTGTAAATGTTTGACAATTTACTGTCGATTCTTGGTGAAATGAAATGATGCGTTTTACTGTAAGTTGTTACACTGTAGGTGAACATTTCTGATCAGGGTGTCGGAATGACCTGACAGTTCTGTCCAAGGCTTAACTTTGTCACAAACTATAATATTAMCTTTTTGCACAATCCTCAAAAAAATCTGACTTTTTAAGAACAGTTTTATCTTTAAAAAGCAATTAAAAGACTAATGATCATATTTAGATGATAAACACAGATAAAGTTTTTTTATTAAATTTTTTTATTTCAATACTTTTATTGATTTGCTGTTTTGTAGCACTTTGTACGATGACATATTCGGGCCACTTTTCAGATGGAAGAAAAAAGGAAAAAAAAAACAGGAAAATTTTATGTAAAAAAGTCATAAATCTGGCAGAAATTTGCAACATTTAAACTAAATATTTTCTAACATGGTAAAGTCAGAAATTTACAGAAAAAAGAACGTGTAAATGTTAAGGAATGGATAAAGGGCCAATCTACCTGTTTTCACTACCTTCAGCATCTTTAATCTGCTCTAGTTTGAAAACGTTTTTTAGAGAAATCAAATCTGGACTAGATTATTCTACACTGATTGCAGAATATTTGTGAAGTGTGTGATTTGTGAAAGGTATACATTTGATTTTTGAAGCTTCAGTACGTGGTGGTTTCAGCACTTTTTATGTATTTTTTGAACAATTTCAAATTTCCGCCTTTAATTATGAAATTTTCTGAATTTTTCTAGTGAATTTTCCAGTTTGAGTTTGTTTTCTTGAAAATTTCTGAAATAACCTCAAAATTTGAGTTTTTTTGACAAAGTTTTGCTCCTCTGTTTTTTTCCTCTGCAAAGTGGCCCTGATATGCCGTCGTAACTT